ATCCATCTGTTTGCCCATTTTGAAGGCCCATGTACACTGCACTAGTCAACAAGGAAGCGACTATTCGATCACTCGTAGGCGTATCTGAGTGCATATTGAGAAAAATAAAGCTCCCTCCTTTCTCCTTTCTCTTTCGCAGATTATGCTGAGTATGTCTTCCTTGGACTTTTCATGACCGAGATGCTCCTCAAAATGTATGGCCTCGGCTTCCGACTCTACTTTCAGTCATCGTTCAACATCTTTGACTGTGTCGTAAGTCATCCACTTAGTCGAAGAAAATACGGCTTTGTGTATTTTTCACAGCAGGGCGTTTACAATGGAATTATTTGCGAACCGCTTCTCTGATGCTGCCATTAGGGTTGACGGTCAGACAAGTCATTCCACTGTAAAGTGGGGGAAAAAGGGAGTAAGATTGTGGAACTAGACGAATTATTTTCTACCGTTTTCAGACGGGTAGGTGCTAACAAAAGAGGGTAAGTGGACAGTCAAGACTTTGAATTAGCAAGTAATTCGTTCTTCTATGAAAAGGACGGGAAGCCTACGATTTCTCAACTATTGCTTTGTTCAGGAAATATGGGTGTATTTTGATTAAGATCCATTGAAAGGATTGCGAAGCAATGTGATATGGTCCAATTTTAAATCCTGTCAGAATTTGGGTCAGCAGATTAGGACAGTTACCATTACTAAGTGGTACTTACTAAGGATGCGAAAGCCAAGTCCAAATAACCCGAACACTTTTATACGCGATAGCATTTGCTGCATGCATCGGTAATCTAAAATCCGTTTTCTTTCAAAACACAATTTCATTAATAACAAACGAAGCTTTCTTCTTTAGGTTATCATCGGGAGTCTCTTTGAAATTCTTCTTGCCCTTGTTCAGCCGGACACCTCATTTGGCATTAGCGTACTACGAGCACTGCGACTTCTACGTATTTTTAAGGTCACTAGGTAGGCAAAAGTTGTCGCCGCTCTTGTACTTAAAACCTTGAATATCCACAAACTTCCTATACGATCCAAGCAGATCCTCACTTATCGTCACGCATAGTAGAAAAGCATGCATGACGGGTGTGGAGACAAAGCATTAAGAAATTTATACCGTTATTTGTGCAGGTATTGGGCTGATTTGAGAAACTTGGTGTTGTCTTTGCTGAGCTCGATGAGGAGTATCATCTCACTGGTCTTCCTTCTCTTCCTCTTCATCCTTATCTTCGCTCTCCTTGGAATGCAGCTCTTCGGTGGCGAGTAAGTAGCACTGAATGTCTATTAGTCAAACGCCTTCTTAGGCGTTGTATGATGTAGTCAGCGCCAAAACATTAAAGCATATGCATCATTCACACCCAAATAAACATTGCAAGGATGTAAAACCGTATTTTTAAGAGGTTGGTATTGCAGACTCGTTTTCATCCTAGTATTTATGACGTTTCCATTTATTTCAACTTTAAATAATCTGGAAAATGCCTAAATATGCACCAGTCATGCCAGGTACATTCCCTCCGCTGTTATTGCCGTATCTTTTTCCAATGCATTTTGTCTTCCAACAATGAAGAGTAAACATTCAACTCCTCTACACAATGGTGAGAGTTTTCAGAAGAAACATTTAAAGACAAAAACGCCATAAATAAGTAGACCCGAATGGAATCACGCTGCTTTTGAGGTGAGAAATTAATTTTGACGCTTATTTGCGCAAATGCAAACATTCAAGTAACGTGACTTCAATCTGAGGTTTCAGCCAACGCAGCGTTGACAGTGGACTTTGAAAATGTCTTCAGGAAATTCAAACCCAACTATGTTCTAAGCCAATAAAATACTTCAATACTCAAAGCCATTTTATATAGCACAGCGGATCCTTAACATAAAAATTGTAGACTAAACGATAATATAAATGTTTATGGTGACTTAAACTTGTTTTGGGTTGTAAAGTTTTGCAGCTCACGTCTGCATAAATCGTAATTTCTCCATTTCCGCTCCCTAAACTCCGTCAAGCACAGCTTCGGTCTGGACTCAACGCAAGGTTATATTTGTGCCACTCATTGCCATACTCAAGTCAACTTAACAAACTCCCCGTTTATCGCCAAAAAAAAATTTTTAGGCTAAGTTATTAAAACATATGTAACAGATTTTGGGACCGTCGGTGCCTTTTTAGGAAATTACCTTTGCAAAACTTCCATGTGTAGGACCTCAAAAGCCACTTTTGGAGGCAACATTTTAACCTCAGCTGACATGATAAAAAAATCTCAGTCAGCATTCCATTCAAAGAAGCGGCTCTTTGTGCTTGTTTGACCTAAAAATAAAGGCTGGAAATATTATGATTGATAGTAGAATGAAATGGTATATAAATAAAACCTCGAATGTACTTGAGCAAGAACATGGAAAGGTAGTGTCTTTTTATTTTAATGGTCATGTAACTTTTTAAGTGTGAGGATTTCTGATCCATAATTCACACCTTCTTCCTTCGTTTGCCTTATTTATCATCGTCACGGCTGAATGAATTGGCCACGGAGAAGTAAGCTGCGGGTGATGGGAGTGAATGAAGTACTGCTTGAAGGAGAGACACATTTTGATGCCTACCTCATGAGTCTTCTTTTTATCCGAC